TGTGTGGGTCGGTGTGGGCAGCGCTGGCCGGTGCTGCCTGTCCTGGAGGGGAGGGTGCTGGCTGCACGGGAACGCTACAGTAGAAATGGTAGAACGTGGATTGTAAGACCTGCTCTGTTCTAGCTCCCCACGTTCATGCAGGGATACAGAAAATTGACATCAAGCCTTTTCCTCCACAAAGAAAACGCAGTTCTCAATGGTATACTTTTTTTTTCTTTTTCCTCAGAGTATGTGGTGCAGTTAATCCCCAGAAACTTCTCAAGGGCAATTAAAGTGAGTCAGACTGTGGGAGAATTTGTTGTGCTGAACCTTATATTTCTCTTTCTACCCAGCTGAGTCAGAAAACTGCTTAATGAAGAATCTGAAGAGGTTTCGGAAGCAGTTAGAAAGAGAGGCAGGGATGCTTGAAGCGACAAAACGTGCCTTTATTCCAAAGACCGTCAAAATGCCTTCTGAGTACCATTTGTTTGTGGAAGAATTTTGTAAGAATCCTGGCATCGATTGGATTATGAAACCGGTGAGTATGTGTTCTCCCAAGGAAAATGAGACAGAGATGAATGTATGTGGAGGGAGAGGAAAATATGCAGGAAATCCGCAGGAAGAGGTGGGCAGAGCAAGGTGGCTAGGAGCAGCAGTGCTCCTGGCCAGTTTCCTCATCAACATGTACTACCAAAACACTGCTTCTTCTGTAACAATTCCTTTCAGCGGTGAAAAGACAGCTCAGTTTATTTGTAGAGCTAAAGTTAACTCAGTGGTGAAGGTATAAAGTGCAGAGTTCTTGTGTGGAGGAACAGATTGTTCTCCCAGGGGTTCTTGCTGTGGGGTTATGGGCCAAGTTCATGCTCTGAAATCTTTCAGTTTGGCTGCAGGTGTGCAAGAAGGTGGATGTGTGTGCAGGGCAGCTGTCTAATTGGGCTTCTGGCTAAGCAGCTTTCTAGGGCAGCTCCTAAAGATGGAGCTATGAAAATACCTGTTTGGTTTTAGGGAAATCCCACTACACTAGATGTCAGCAGGTGTAAGTCCAGTCAACTTATTGAGTGGACTTCCATCCTGAGAATGTGAAGAGATGATGGGAGACTCCATGAGCAGCCTGCAGTGCAAGTTGGGATGGATTTGGTTGGCATTAGCTTCTCTCTGCTCTGCAGTTAGGGACCTGAAGAGTAGCCTCATGCTCTGAATCACATTTGTCCCCCCAAACCTATAGGTACCTGGAGCTGTGCTGAACACAGCAGCTTCCCCTTCAGCCTGTGTCCTGGGGACCAAGGAAAAATTGTGTTTTCTTTTGATATTACGACAATACACCGTGACACTGAGAAATGCCTTGCTTCTACCAGATGATTTGAGCCATTTAATATCATGAGTATCGTGCTGTGGTGAATAATTAAAAATACCCCCATCTGTGAGACCTGCGAGCGAGCAGTCGCTTTGCTTTGTGCAGTAGGTCTGGCGAGCAGGCTGGGACGGGAGGGTTCGCCTTACCCTGCGAGTCGGGCCCCTCTGTAAGGGCACACTTGTGAGAAGTGAATGGGAGGTAATTATGCAAACTAACATGTGAGTTACAGCCAGGAGGATAGCAGCTAGTGATTATCTAACTCTACAAATGGAAATGTGTTAATTGGCAACAAACCCCCTTATATTAAGCTGATTTTATGCCCACAACCTCAATTAACATGGTAAATAACCAGAAGACAGTAAACAAGGATGTATGAAAAGCCTGTGATTACTGAAATTATACCAACAGCTTAAATGAAATAGTTTGTGGCTGACCTCAAAACTCGCAGACAAGTAAAAATAAACTCCATGTTACTCCTTGTGTCGGTCGGTGCTCTTGAGCAGCCCCGTGTTGTGACAACTCAGGTTGCCTCCTCCCACACTCAGATGCAGTAGTAGGTCAGGACGTGCACATGCCTGGGGCTGCAGGAGCCTGGACCTCCTTCGGAAGGTGCCCTGAGGAGCCTTGCTTCTTGGGTGGCTTATCTGGGTCAGTCATCACCCACTTTTAGTACATCGTGCAGTCTAGGCTGTCTTCAGGATTGTTCTGCTCTTTCTTGCCATAGTTCTCTGACATCTTTCATGACTTCCCTGTTTAATTAAGTCCTTCTAGAATGTACACAAATTTAAAAAGTGACTTAACAAAATTCCCAACAACATATGTTGTGTTACTTATATTTCTGCAAGCATGTGACAGAGTTTGTTTATCCGGCATGGTGGAACTTCCCCATAGGCTGGCTGCCTGCTCTGCCCTTTCCTCCAGGAATCCTCCTAACACTTACAAACCTGAGCTTTTTGCACTAGAGGGCTGTTGCTGGATCCCACTGCCCCCGTAACCTTAAATAAATGTGCTTGCATACAAACAGATGGTGAATCAGGTTATGCAGGGCTTCTATACTGAAAATCTGGGCAAGAGCAGGAAATGCTAAGGTTAAAGCCAGTAACTCTGCTCCTCCATCTGTACGTTTGCAGGTCACGAGGTGAAGGAATTTTCCTGTTCTGAAAACTGAAGGATGTTATTGATTGATGAAGGTGAGAGTGACTCTGTCTTCTCCTTGGGGAATACCCAACAGGCACTTTGGTATTTTGCTCTTATTTCATTCTCCCCTTTGCTGGTGAGTTGTTCTGTTCTCCTGTGCCTGTCTCGTGTAATACTCCTGCACCATTCCACAGGGCAACAGCAAAGTTTCTTACCGGGGCTTTTCCCAAATGGTCAGATACTTTATCTGGGATCTAACTTCTGACACTTTGTGTGCGTGTTTATATATAAACTTCTGCTATTAGGTAGGTCTAATGCTAGGCAGCAATATCAGCAACTGAGTTATATTATACATTTCTCTGCACTTCATAGGTTGAAAGTTTGATTTGAGAGTTTGTGTTCCACTGACATCTGTAAGTGCAAACCACCACTATTATGCCAGAAATGGATTTCCTTGCCTTAATGCCCAGTCGCTCCTTTCCTCTTCTCCCAATTCATCCCGCTGAAGACCTGGTTATACTGAGGTGGATTTGCTTGTGTTTCTAATACATGATTTACTCTGAATAGCAGAGGTGGTCACTGTATCCTACCTGTCTGTGTGTGCCATAAAGAAGGGTAAGAAAAAGAATGTACAATTGTACTGCTTGGTATTAGATGCGTCAGATGAACCTTGTCACTTCTGACTCCTGCAAACACCTATAGGATTCATCTGTCCTGCCGCTGCCACCCAGTCTCTCTCCTGTCTTTTTTCACTGGAAAACTGGTGTCACCAGATCACTGGAAATGTCAGTTTGACAAATCAGCTACGACCGAAGCTGAAATGTCAGTCCTGGTTTTATTCTTAGTTGTTGAATATTGGCAGCCTTTCTTCTTCCTCGGCTTCACAGAACATAAGAACAGGGTGATTCATGGGAGAGAACTATTTGATTTTTTACGTGTCACACTTGCTACTCTATTAAATTTGATAGCTTTCATGTGATTAACACATCTTCCCAAAAGGTATCCCACCTCAGTTTGATGGCTTAGGAGGCAGGAAAATCCATCGCTTCTCTCTGTGAAAGTTCAGCAGAGCTCATGCTTGCTCTGAATGATCAAAAGCCTTTCCAGAGTTGGGGCACAGCAAGCTGCCTTGGGTGAAGGTGCGCTGAGGTTTGTAGACGTGGTGACATGAAGAGCTTTGTGCCAGCCATGACGTACAGTACTACCTCAGGCCAGTCACACTTTCATTTTCTAGACACACCTCTTGATAACTTCTGTTTTTTGGTTGTTGGGTTTTTTTCTGCAATTTTTAGTAAGATATCATCATGCAGGGTTGGATTTAAGCTCAGGTGGCTGAAGCCTGTGATTACAGACAGGGAAGATAATTAAGTGGCACTGGGGCAGAAGAGGACTGTTTAGAGTGAGAATTCCGTATTTGCTTGTTCAGTGTCTGTTTGTCTTGGATCCTTATCTCTACTTCATTCCCGAGCTTCATCTCACAAAGGTGGCAGTGCAAAAGACTGCACCTGATTATGATCCCAGGAAGGTGAGGGATATGCTCTGCCTGCAGATACTCTCCGGCTGCCTGCTGTTGGGGCGGTTCTGGCAGAGACAAGCAAGCTGACCTCATCCTGCCAGCTGCCATGCCATGGACGTGTGCTGCAGCCACTTAACCGTGCTGCCTTGTCTCCTGATACCCATAAACGTGATTTCATTGAGAGCAGCTTTAGGAGAGAGGCTGGGTGAGCGTTCTGCTTGAACCGTTGCTTTGCAGCTGGCTGCGCATCTATACGGCTGATCTTTTTGACTTTAAACCTAATAACTTTGATTAGTGCTGTTCTGAGATGTAGATATCTTATAGCTTAGCCCTTTGCTTCTAAGACCTCAGCGGTACAACGAGGTTGACGTTGCTGGACACGACTGTCACTATTAAGCTTCTTGTCTCAAGAGGTGGCAGCTGAGAGAAAGAGAGGGAGAGGGGAAAAAAGATCTGAAACGGGATGTCAGATTCCTTGTGGATGCGAGATGAGGGTCAAATGTTTGAGAGTAATAGAGGATGGTGTTGAACTTCCCGATTTATAGGCTGCTCCCTTCTATAAATCTCTCCTGACTGTATGGAAAGGAGAATCTTTGCAATACCCTGATAGAAGAGATGTTGACTGCTGTTCAGGGGAGCTCCTGATGGGGACCTGGGGACCTTTTCTCCCTATAGCTGTACGGTTGTCATGCTTGAATTGTTTAACTGCGTTGTGGGTCCGGTGGCCTCTACCTCCTGGTCTCTGGGTTTTTACTAAGAATCTTTGCTGGGCTGTGGAGATTACAGGGTGAGGATTGAAAAAAATCATGTGGACTAATTGCATGGTCATCTTTTGGGACTGGCTTCATATAATTGTGTTTGGGTGTCTCGGGGCTGCAAGTGGGTGGTTCAGCA